GGAAAATACAGTAACAATAAAAAAAATTGCACAAGCATAAATTTTATATAAACAACTTTATATAAAGAGATTACAAAAAATATAGCCTGAGTGGCTTGTATATACGTCACCGACAATTTTTTTTGACATGACTAATCTACCTCAAAATATGCCCATGGAGATCTTCATAGCGGTAATATACTGAAACATTAGCATCTTATCAATATAAGATCTTATATTGCAGATTTAGGGTTATCTAGAAAGAAAGACGATTCTGATTTTGAAAATAGTATTTACGGCGTTTTACCTTACGTTGCCCTGAAGTGTTAATTGGGCAATCATATACAATTGCAGCAGATATTTATAGTTTTGGTATTATTATGACTGAAATGTCTATAAGAAAACCACCTCATTACGATATTGAGTATGATGAAACGTTAGCAATTCAAATATGTAACGGACTACGACCTGAATTTGCTGAAGGCACTCCAGAATGTTATATTCAATTAGCAAATAAATGTTTGGATGCTGATCCTTCTAATAGACCAACTGCATCTGATATCCATAAAGAATTATCAAGATGGAGCCTTATATTATATCGTAAAGCTCCAAAAGATAAAGATGAATTAATGATATTAAAAGCATTCCAGTGTGCAGATATGATTATTCCAACATTATCAACAGAATTACCAATTTGTCCTAAAGATAAACTAACAAGTAAATTACTTAGTTTTAAAAATCTTTCAAAGCCAATTAATTCTCTATCTGCAGAATTGTCAAAAATTCCTGGTGAATAATTATATCTATTATATCTTATTTTAATTAATTGATAAAAAGTTTAATGACTTTAGTTTATTTAGGTTCTAGAGAATGGGATGTTTCAATTCCTGATGACTTATAATGATATTTCTTGTAAGTATTTAACAATTTTAATTTATTTAGTACATAAAAATATCTATTAATCTGTGAATACTTTAAATCTATAGCTAATTATATAAATATATTTAGGGGGTAGATCATTCTGGTTGGTCGTTTAGTTTCTAATAAAACTGATCGGTTTTTTGGTCCGACCTCAGTTTCTAAACGGATTCTAATAATTTAAAATTTTAAAAATATAAACATAAACTGAAAAGGCCGATCTGAACTGATGTAACCGGTTAAAAATAGATCCTTATTCAGTCTTTCCGGAATAGATCTATTTCATTCAAATCGTTTATTACCTACTATACTTCAAAAACCAGGCTTATTTAGTTGTTCAAAATCGTTAGAACCAGTCTTAGTGGATCTTTTCTAAACTTTTAACCACAAAAAGGCTAACTTAATTATTTGTAATCTCTTTATATAAAGTTGTTTATATAAAATTTATGCTTGTGCAATTTTTTTTATTGTTACTGTATTTTCC